TTGCAAATACTATGCCTCTGCAGACACGAGCTGGTAACCAGTAAATCTGCACTCAGCTCAAGTGTTTTCCTGGACACTATTATAAAGATAATCCGGATCCATTTATTGAAAAATGACAATGAAGACGAACAATAAGTGAATGAGCATTCACAGAGTGGCCCTTCAGGGGGAACTCTCCTCACCCCCTCAAAGGGGCTGTGAAGTGTTTGTTCTCCTATTGTTTGCATCTTGGGAGATGTGCAAGAGATAGAAAGACAGTTTATCCGCTGTGAGCTGCACACTGTTACAACTTGCCTAGTTTCCCCACCATCCAGAGTCAAATTTCCAAACTTCACAGGACAGCTCATAACATCTAATTGTCTCTTGACTCCCTTTCTGGTCAGATCAGGCTTTTAAAAGTTTATTTAATTTGCATCAAGTAAAGATAGCATCTTCTCTGGGAAAAGCAAAAGGCTGGAGCTTGTCACAGACGAGGAGTATTCATGGGTCACAGGCAGGGGAAAGCCACATCACTGAAGTGGAGTTCAATATGACCCTATAAATATTTATGAGGAGCAAATACTTACAGGTTACATCTGTATTAGTAAACTAAAAGGGTGAAGGAACACTCCACTGTGGGTTTAAATCAAGAGAACCGTGCCAGCCAGCACTCCCTCAGACAGCATCTGCCACTTCTCAGGGTTCAGTGCAGCCCAGAGACCTTTTCAGGTGGGCAGACTAGATGCACGCTCTGCGTTGGGGGAATATAAACTAAGCCATACTAAGGCAAGCTGAGCTGTGCCAGTTGGCCTCAGGCAGGTAAACAGACCTTGGCTCAGAACATTTTATTTATTTAGTGTAGATGTTGCTCAAGCCTGTGCCAAGCGCCACACTCTCCAGCTGAAACACAGCATGCTTCTCCCTTATCACACGATCCGATGCCTCACGGAGGGGCGTGAGGTATATGACTGCTTTCACAACAGTCCAACCCAGCTGCCAGTTGCACAGGTGTCCTCTTGAGACACAAGACCAGCCTGATGTGCCAGCACAAGAAGCAGCAAGGTGTTTGGTAGCTGCTGGGACTGAGAGGCCCCCATGCTTCATGACTGATGAAGAAGCAGGTCTGAAGAGGCTGTCAGCCCA